GCAGTATCCAGGTGAGGTCTCACCAGAGCAGAGCAGAGGGGCAGAATCACCCCCTTGATCTGTTGCCACACTTCTTGCAATGCAGCCCAGGATGGGGATGGGTTTGGGCTGCAGATGCTCATTGGTGGCTCATGTCCAGCTTCTCATCTACCAGTATCCCCAGTCCTTTCTTAGCAGAGACCACAGGGGTGCTCCCAGGACAGGATTTGTCCCAGCCAGGGCAGCAGTGACCAAAAAGAGGACACACGACTCAAGCCCCAGCAGCGCCTGCTCATCCCTAATGACGACAGAGAGCACCCAGACCGCGTGTGCAGGCACTGTCGCTCGTAGACACCTCGGGTAGGTGTTGTGGTTTAGGGCTGGGCTGGCCACTAAATGAGTGTTTAACCTCCAGCAAGACACTTTCACCTCCTACCACTTATTATTTCTATGCAGGATCTCATTAACTAAACACCCACAGCACAGACAGGAAACAGAGTGCTTTTCTGTCTCAGTGAGAGTGGTTTAAGTGACACAAATATCAGTCTCGCAGCACTTAATACTGGTGTTTCCCCAGGAAACAGAGGACAGAGGCCTGCTGCTACCTTGCATTTCTTACCTTGGTTCCAGGTTTCAACCCTTCCAACTGTTTGGGCTTCCGGAAAGTTTTGTGGTGCTGCAGCTTGTGTTCAATTTTATCCTTGGCAAATAGGAACTGGAGTCTGCACTTGTTGCAGTGATAAACACTCTTCTTCTAAAGCAAATGCAGATGAAATATTTAATTGCAGAGAAACAGAAGCGACAACACAGCAAGGTTTTTTTATGTTTAAAAGAAAAAGGAAGACACTTTCCCCCTCTTTGAAACCAAAGGCAATCCCATTTTTCTTTACCATCTGAAATCCCCTTTCTGCCAGACCCCATATTTGGGGTGTTTTGGTGTTTTAATTAAAACCATCGGGCTCTGCAGAGACACCAGACCTGGAAGAGCATCGGGCCAAGTCTTACCCAGCTCCTGTAGCCAAAGCAAGGCACAGCAGAACAGCACAAGGAGCAATGTCCCTCCAAAAGCTGCCTCTGCCGGGGGTCAGGGAAGGACTTGAGGGGCAAATCAGCTCAGGCACTCGACGAGAGCTGCGTTTCTATATTCTGAAAGCACGCTTCAGCTACACCCACACAAAACATGTCATCAGTATAGCCAGCGTATATGGAAACAGAACACTGAGCTATGAAGATGATATTAATTTGTGTGCACACAGAATTATTTACTCATTTATTCATGTAAACCCCAAATGATCACAGAGCCCGCTGTAGGTTAACCATCACATGAAGCAGACAGTTCAGTAAACCAGGCTGTGTGCTGCTCCCGAAGGAGCAATGCCTCTTCCACAGCACAATCCCTGTGAAAAGTGTGGACTGACAGCATGCAAATCGCATTTGTTACGGAGGGAGCACGGCGTCTCCTAAAACCCCTCCTACAACCACGTTTCCCTTCTTTCTGTTTCTGTTTCAAGCCAATGCTCGCCTAAGCACACGCTCACCACTCGTGGGACCTCTGTGGCATGGGAACAGCCTTGAAAAACACGAATGAAGAGACCCCAGCCCTGACACAGTACCTGATGCCTCATGAAGTGCTGTTGGAAAGCGTTGCCGTTCTTGAAGACTTTGAGACAGTACGGACAGAGCAGGTGCCGCGTGTCCTCGTGGATCATTCGGAAGTGGCTGTCCACTTCAGAATAGAGCGACGAGCGGTACTGACAGACCTACGGGAGCACAGTTAACAACTGTAAATCCTTGACAGCGAAATAACATGGCAATCTATCTCACATCCACCACTGCAGCGTGGAGACCTTAATGCAATGCCTAGGACCCAAAGGTATCCAGGCATCAGTGGAGTTCAGGAACCAGGTCCTAAAGAACCTGCTGGTTTATTCCAGCTGTAAGACACTCCATCAAGCAGTGTATATTCAGAGTACTTGGGGAAACAGGTTTGAACCATGTGTATAAAAAGAAAGGAGTGACAATACAAGCTCCAGTACCAAGAAAAGAAAGAAAAGGATGAGAGACAGCCAATGCGAAGCAGCTGGAAGATATTAAAAAGCAGTTTCTTTGGGGTCTATGTAAAATGCAGAATTGGAATAGCATGTGTTTTCACATCACGTATTTCAGAAGTTTCTTCTCTGGTTTTTCCCCTTTTTGGAGTGTTAGGACCTCTGGGTGGAGATGACTCGTGCAAAGTCAATGCAAGCACAAATCTCATGGCGACAGAGTGTCAAGAGAAGGTATCACACAAGCAACAATCTCATCTGCTCCGCAGTGACAACTTATTTTGATGGCACAGCAATTTGCCTGCAGGCCCCGGCAAGAAAAAGCAAAATCAGGCTCCGAACGCCACGGTGCCCTAAAAGCCACCAGACTTTGGAGTCTACAACTGAGAAACAAAAATGCAAGGGGCTCCACAGCCCCATTCCATGGCCTAAATCTGGCTTGGACCTCTATGAGCCACACACTTGGCTGAAAAGCGCCTGATTTCCTCTTATTGTCTAGTGTGTGTTTATGCAGTTCAGCCCCTAAAGCATTTCTGATACCTGACAAACGTAGGGCATCTCCCCAGGCTTGTGAGTGTCCTTCATGTGCTGCAGGAACATGGGCTCGCTCTCGAATGCCCATTCGCAAATCTTGCACTTGGCTGCAAAAGAAAGGCAAGGCAGGTAACAAAAGAAAATAAATCCCTGTTAAAACAGACCGAAGAATGAGTTGTTACACTACCAGCTACAAGTTAAGCTTAAGAAAACAAATCAAACAAAAAAAAAAACCCCCTAGCTCTCAACTCTCTGAATTGGGTTCACCGCAAAATATATCCCGAGAGGTTTCCAAAAGGCAGCAAAAATTCTCTTAAAAATTAAGTTCTATCCTGACACCGTTACTAAACTTGATCTTTACAATACTCTTGACAGGAAGGTTTTGCAGAAACGTAACTGAGATGGATTTTTCTGCTGGCCTCCAAAAACCGACGCACCAAGGGGCAAGGCAGAACAGATGCTCCTTTCGCAACAGATGTGCGGTTGATACGAGACAGAAACCTCCTAAACCTAAACAAACAAAAACCCAACTCACTTGTTGACTCATAGGGACTGTGGACGTTCTCCAAGTGGCACTGGAGCTGGAAGGGAGTGGAGAATTGTCTGTAGCAGTGCTGGCAGATGGTGTGGACGTCCACCTCGCCGTTCTGCTGGTCCAGCTCCACGTGGTGCTTCATGTGGTTCATAAACCTTAGAGGTGAAGGGAAAGGGTGTGAAGAGAAATTCAAACTGAATCTCCCTCTATCCAGCAACCTCCTGCTCCCTAAGCCTAAGGAAAGCGAGAGGACGTTCCAGGTTCCAGTAGAAATTGGGGAATGACCGATTAGAGAGCAGCGTAGGGGAAAGGGACCTGGGGGTCCTGGTGGGCAGCAGGATGACCATGAGCCAGCACTGTGCCCTTGTGGCCAAGAAGGCCAATGCCATCCTGGGGTGTATCAGGAGGGGGTGGTTGTAGGGCAGAGAGGTTCTCCTCCCCCTCTGCTCTGCCCTGGTGAGACCACATTTGGAATATTGCGTCCAGTTCTGGGCCCCTCAGTTCAAGAAGGACAGGAACTGCTGGAGAGAGTCCAGCGTAGGGCTACAAAGATGATAGAGGGAGTGGAGCATCTCCCTTCTGAGGAGCGGCTGAGGGAGCTGGGGCTCTTTAGTTTGCAGAAGAGGAGACTGAGGGGAGACCTCATTCATGGTTAGAAATATTTCAAGGGTGAGTGTCACGAGGATGGAGCCAGGCTCTTCTCGGTGACAAACAATGATAGGACAAGGGGTAACGGACACAAACTGGAACACAGGAGGTTCCACTTCAATTGGAGAAGAAACTTCTTCTCAGTGAGGGTGCCAGAGCCCTGGCCCAGGCTGCCCAGAGAGGTTGTGGAGTCTCCTGCTCTGCAGACATTCAAAACCCGCCTGGACGCCTTCCTGTGTAACCTCATCTGGGTGTTCCTGCTCCGGCAGGGGGATTGGACTGGGTGAGCTTTGGAGGGCCCTTCCAATCCCTCACGTTCTGGGATTCTGTGTGAGGGACTGTGCAGTGCAGAGGTGGTGCCATTTGCTTTTGAGCACTCCTGACCCCGATGGCGACAAAACCCTTTAACAACACAGCAGCTGGCTCAGAAGAATACACACTAATACACTAACACACTCCATTCCATCAAAGCATTGTCTCCCTCTGTTGAAGAAGCATTGAATAAAGATGAGAAGAGCAGTTCTTCAAGAAGAATTATTTCCTAGTAAGACTAGCGGCAAGCAAATGAGACATCTCAGCTGAGGAAAACAAACGCAGTTATTCTAACCACGCAACCTCCTTACAACTTCTGCCCTGACTGCACTGTGTGACGATGGCCACGTCTGAGGTTTACAACTCGTTTTTGCTCCTGCAGATCAGAGGTATCCAGACCAGCACAGCCTGTTTCAGTGGCACATCACATCCCTCTTACCGTATGTTGTTCTTTAGCCTCTTGGTGCAGTGCGGACACCTGAAGGAGGTGGGAACCTTGGGGAAGTTGAGCAGCTGGTTCACTTTGCCACCGTCTCTGCCATAGTAGAAGTCATCTACTAACATGATGAGCTTACTTTGGGATGAGTCGACTACGTTTTCGCTTGGCTCTGGAGCTTTAGCAGGTGGGGACAGTGCGGGGATAGGAGTAGAGGAGGGTGGTGAAGCAACAGCCGTCGTTTTTTCTGGAGATGGAGGCTTTGCAGATTGAATATTTGGTTCAGATTCTAGAGATTTTCTTTTCTTGAGGAATTCAACCATTTCAGGGCAGCAGTACTAAAAGGAAAAAGAACAACCGACCCAAAGCACACATTAAATTGTAGGAAGAAATAGAGATACTCTTAAATGCACAAAAATTAACCAGTACTATGTAAAGACAGAGAACTCTAGGAAAGAGCAATGCCGATTCAATACCCAATTTTCTCTGTTGATTCTTTACTGCTAAGTAAGCTTAGACAATAAAGACATCCCCTGGCACCAACAGGGCTGCCTGCTCCCCATGGGGGATGCTGTGAAAGCCCTGCCAAAGGCCTCTCCTTTGCCTCTCACCCTCTCCTATCCATGCTCTTCCTTTTCACAGCAGTACCTGATCTAGGGAAATCTGGTCTTTGCAGTCCACAATCACGAGTAATTATCCATGAACTGCTCGTTGCAGAACAGTTACTTACACACATATGTCCTCTTAAAGCTTCAGTGACTCGAAACTGAGCATCACATCTCGGGCAGACCTTCCTGCCCCCATCTTGCAGATCAAAGGTGGGAATAGGAGATGAGCTGACTGTAACAGGAAAAACACAACAAAATCAGAATCCTCACACTTCATTCTTTCGGGTATATGAAATACTTTGGTTTCAAGCACTGTACTTTTAACTACTAACTAGACTGGAAGAGGCAAGCACCTTAAGAAGGTGTTTGCTTTCTCTGGAAGAAGAGAAGCAAAGCTTTTATTCCTTTGCCTCCTTGTGTGGAGTATTTCAGGTGTGTGTGCTTCCAAATATCCACAAACAAAACAGAATTACTGGATAAAAACGTAGAAATAGAGAGGAAGAAATGAACAGCCAAGCTTTTCAAGTGTTTGTCCCTATTATGAAGGCTCAGGAGTTACAGGTCAGCATTTTTTCACTCCAGAAAATAAACTCTCAGCAGAACGGATCGAGCCAAGAGCTGCTGCAGACAGCACCTTTGGATGATGACGACGACGACTCTGAAGCACTGGATCTCTGGGAGCCGTGCACGGGGCTGCTGTTGGAGACCACGAGTGGGCCAGGGCTCTGGCCCAGCGAGGGAACCGTGTTGAGGGTGTTCACCAGCTTGGCCACCTCGTTGCTGTTCTCACCCGTCACTCCGGGCCTCTTCACTGTCACGAAGCTGGCGATGCTCACTGCCAAGGGAAGGGATCATACGGCAACACTGAGAAGGAATCGGTAGGATCTGGTTTGCTGTGTGAATCCCACCCCATCTGCCTTGGCTCCTACTCTTCTACCTCGAGTCTTGACCAGCAATAGTGAAGCCATTCATTATCCTGTCCAGTAACACGAGGACGGGCAAAATTGGGAAAGGAAAACTCCCTAAATTTCCAGAATACGCTAAGATAAAAGCCATGTCCCACGATGAACTAAACAGGATATTGATGGTCCCAAACATTATTTGTATTTCTTTTCTAAAGGCAGCTGTACATGATTACGGCCACTTAAAGCTAAAAATAACCTGACTGCTTGCTGCGCGAAGAATTATTCTCTTCCTTTTTAAATTGTCACTATTCTTGAGCAATCATTTCACTCATGAATTCAGCTAACATTCAAAAAACCCCAAAAGCAACATGGTTAGCTTCTGCCCGTGTTCATCATCTATTTGATGTTAACTTCCCCAAAAACACATGTGATTAACAAATGGTATTTTTCACTTCTGGGGGCTTGTAATTGATGGTCTCAGGACATCCTACAAAATAAAATGTAACTGGTTCTCCAGCCCAACTGGACACGGTGGCAGGATTATCCTCATTTTCCAGGTCGGTAAGAGAGATGAAGCGTGAGTCAGTGACAGAGGCAAAAATAGAAGCCAGGAGTTGTGACTCAACCTCTGTCTTTCAGCTGCTACGCCGTATGCCTGGAGATCAAATTCTAGACAGCGTTACACACTCGAGTCCCCTTGCTTTTCCACGGCAAGTCTTACCTAATTTGGGGTTAGTAGCGTGACAGGGCTGCCCTGGCTGCTGCACAGTTAAGTGTCCGAGTGGTGTTGGCCGCGCTGCAGTAGGAGTTGTGGAGGTGCTGGGTGTGGACTTACTTTGCTGTTGTGCCTGGGACTGCGGTACCGTGCTCCTGATGGTGAGCGTGGCCGGAATGACCGTGGTGAAGGTGTTGGCGGCGGGTCGGACCGGCATGGTCGTACCGGGTCTCACCTGGGCCATTTGAGAGAACACCTGAGGAACTCCGACTGTTGGTTTAACAAACTGGGTACCTGGGGCTTTAAAACAAAGGAACACAGAAGGTAGACATCAAATAATATCCGCAAAGAATCAAATTCCATTCCCTGCACAGTAATACCCGAGCGTAACCCCTTCTCCAACACTGCTGAGCTCCCCAAACTGCTCATTTCAGTGGAAGTTTGAGAAGTTCAGCACCTTAATTTCAGCTCCCAAGCAGGCTAAAACCGAACGTGGATGCAGACGGAGCGAAGATTGTGTTTACAACTGGTTTTAGGTGCAATTTTACAAAAGGCCCAAGCAGCTTACAAGCATAAATCCCGCTGACTTTCATGGGGCTCACAGTCCTCGTCACTCATAGAAGGCTTCTTAAGGCAGGACAAGGGTGATCCTGCAGCTGCAAATTACTTTGTGATATGAGGCTCTGGAGATTTGTTCTGGGGAGAGTGAAAGGTGACTCACAAGAAGTCAACAATATTCGTGATAAGGCAGCTGCACAGCACCCATGGGTTCTTAGTCTTTCTGCTGGTGCATGACACGAACTGGCAGCAGAAATCAGCATTAGAAAAATCCTCCTTGGGGTGAGGCTTGGTTTCCAAGTTGGGGAGCACCAGCGTGGCACGAGGAGACTTTGAAAGGAAGGAAGAGGGGGGTTCATGGGCTGGGATCTTGCAATGAAGTTAGCCAAGGAGGCTTTTTGAAGAGGCCAGCTTATAAGGAGCCCTGTGAGGCAGATTTTCCTTCCAGCTGGAAGTCCCCTACTCTGCAATGTGGTTCGTTACTGCCATCAAAGGGCCTAATCTGCTGCAAAACGGCCAGTGGGATTACAGCCACAAACACAGCCAAATCTCACTGTCGTGGTTGATACACTTGTTCTGTCACCTGATGACTCCTCTCCACCTGGGGAGGGGAATTGGGAAAAGGAAAGGAGATCTGTAGGTTGAAATAGATTTAATAACTAATATTAATAAGAGTGTTGATAGGAAGGACACAGAGTTATACTCAGCCAACGCTGTGGAGGAGTAGGCCTCAGGGTTAGGATGGTGGACAAGTTCTTCTTGAGATGACAGCCAGGGAGGAAGGAGGGCTGCCCTCAGCAAACTCATCCATTTATAGTGAACATGACACTTATGGTATAGCAGAATACTAATTGGTGAGCCTGAAGTTTCCTGGGTTTCCACTTCCCCCAGCCTCTGCACCTGTTTATCTCAAGACCACTGAAGGCCTTGATCAGCACATACCAGTGTTAGTTGAAAATGACAACAACTGTTTTCGTTTTAGTCTTATCACTTTGTTCCCACGAAACACAGTGGTGCAGTCCTTAGAGAAATGCAGTTTTCCTGAACAGAAAACTGAGTCTAAAACTCTATCCCAGTAAACCAGGACACTCAGCTCCTACAGAACTGATGCCCTGTCTTTAGAGCTACTGAATATGCAGGTGAAATACAGATTTCTATTATTATTATTTTAACCTCTGGTACTCTAAAAGGAACCCAGGAGTGGTTTAGGCTTGTTTCAGTCCTCACCTGGGACGAGGGTGATGGGTCTGACTGTCTGGCCTTGCTGCACGTTCAGAACAATCCCAACCTGGTTCATGGTGTTTTGGACAGGCCGCACGTTCCTCACGGGAAACCCCTGCAGTCAAACAGTACCGTGACCATTAACACACCGAGCACACCTGGAGCACTTTCAATCTCAGCTTTCTACCCTAAAAAACCCCAATAAACAAACAACCCCCCTGCAGCTCTATCACCTAGAGATCAATTGGACTGTGAGGCCACGCTGCTCTGAGCCAGCAGCAGGGCCACCTTCCTCAAACTCCACCACATTCTGACACAGAGCCTCCACTCTCAACCTCTCCTTCCAAAAGCACCTACAGAAACCTTCTCCCACCTCTGACACAACTTACTTGAAGCAGAGGTAGTTCCCTTTATTTTTTTCCCTTTATTTCTTATTTTAAAGCAAGAGGTTTGGTAAACACGGGCACTCATTTTGTAGGAGTGCTTCTGCAGGCAAATGCTTAAAGAAGCCAGTGGGTATTTAAGAAATTACCTGTGTATTTCCCCAGGGAAATACTACAAAGCAGTGAAGTATTCAGTGAGGTCAAACCCCCCCTGAGTGGGCAGCCCCACCGACAGCAGGGATCTGGGCTCCAAAAGTGAGAGCCAGCGTGGAGTCCCATCAGTCTCGCGCTGGCTCCACGGGACCTGCTGAGGTGTGGAACGTGGCCAATTTTCCCCGGTGAAATCACAACACTGCAAAATGACTGGGAGCACAAGCTATTTCTAAACAAAGCTATTTCTAGACCGACATAAATTAAAACCCCAAAAACCCAACAGATTTCAGCTCGAGTGTAACACCCATTCAAGCACACAAGAAGAACTGAAACGGGCCTCTGGTTATTTCCGTACAGAGAGGAGGCTTCCCCAGACGAGTGCACCAGAGGTTGTGTCTGGGCCATCCTGGCTGGCAGGGCCCTCACCTGGGTGGTGATGAAGATGGGCTGGCTGGTGACCGGCGAATTCGTGACGTGGTTGGCGTTCTGCATGATCTGTACGGGTCGCAACACCGGCTGCGTCACCATCGTGCCCAGACCCGAGGCCGGGTTTTGGGTGAGGATCAGGGGCTGTCCGCTCTGCTGAACAAGAGGATTGCCAGCTGCAAACAAGCACAAACACGGCAGAAGTCACATCTGTCAGGTGAGGAGGCTGCTGCTTCTCACACACGCTCAGCTGCCAATTTTAGTCTTCAGAACTGGAATGAGTTTTCCAAAGCACGCTTCAAAAGTAAACTTGTGAAACCATCCAGCTCCTCTACACATTGTTTAACAGTCACGGGAACTGGGTGTTCAAATCCCTCAGCCTGGAGCAACCTCAGGGATGATTATTCTGGCTCCTACGCATTTTGAACACAGCCACAGCCGCTACAGAAAACAGCTTTTCCAGTCTCATTAAGTAAAAATTCACCTGCTGGCAGGTACCGGGGAAACTGAGGCTGAAGCACTACAACCCCTGGCACAGGACGGGCACCAGGGGCAGAGCAACACCGAGCGTTTCTGAACAGCAGCGGCTGCAATGAAGCGGGACCAGGAGGTCACAGGATTTCTCAAGTAACCTAAAGTTGTCTGCAGCATCCTCAGAGAGAAAAGAGGGACTGAACCCTCACGGAGTGGCAAACTTCAACTTTAACAAAAGGAAATAAATAAGAGACTGAAAACATCTGGGTCACACCGAAGCCACGATGTGCAGCCCATGTCCTAACAACATCATATGACAGTTCAAAGTGGTTATTCTTTTAATTCAGAAGTGAAACAACCTGTGTGAAAAGTGAAGCTGGGGAAAAGACAGTAGTTTTAAACTCCACACCCTTAATCACAGCATCACAGGATATGAGGAGTGGGAAGGGACCTGGAAAGCTCCCCCAGTCCAACCCCCCAGAGCAGGGGCACCAGAGCAGTCACCCAGGAACACGGCCAGGGCTTTGGGTGTCTCCAGACAAGGAGACTCCACAGCCTCTCCACAGCCTGGGCCATGCTCTGCACCCTCACATCAACAACTTTGGCCTCATGTTCACATCACCCTCCTGTGCTCCAGCTGCACCCATTGCCCTTGTCCTGGCACTGCCAGCACTGAGCACAGCCTGGCTCCGTCCTCCTGACACTGCCCTTTCCAAATGGAGACCAGCAATGAGGGCACCCCTGGGCTCCTCTGCTCCAAGCTCAAGAGCCCCAGCTCCCTCAGCCGCTCCTCAGCAGGAGATGCTCCACAGTGGTCACCGCTCCAAGTGATAGCGCTCGTATGGTGAGGAAACATGGCAAGGCCACTGTCTGACCATGGGTGCTGGATCCACACCTCATCTCTGTGGCCCTGCTGGACTCATTCGAGCAGTTCCTGTCCTTGTGGAGCTGAGGGCCCAGAGCTGGACACAAGATTGCAGCTGTGGTGTGAGCAGGGCAGAGAAGCTCTCTGCCCTACAACCACCCCTTCTCATGCACCCCAGGATGGCGTTGGCCTTCTTGGCTGCAAGGGCATGTAATAATATCGCACAATACATGAAATATTTTGCATGAGTCCTTCGGTACGACAGCACGTCCCTAGAATTGCAACCAAGCAGGTGACACAGCTCAAGCAGACACTGCACATCAGCCCAGACCCAGACCCAGACCCAGACCCTGTGTATGGCTGCTCCAAGTCAGCTTCACTTGGTAGTAAAACCACTCAGCTTCAAACATCTTCACAGGGGTTTACACCAATGGGTTTTACTCATTCTTTGTGTGTTTGACACTAACTCACACTTCACACTAAGCAGCAGTAACTCTGCCCCTCGCACTCGTGCTGATGTACCTGCCAGGGAGCTCTAACACCGGTGCTGCCCACCATGGCACCCAGAGGGATCTATTTCCCAACGGATTTTCATACTATATGGATACTACAGACTTACACCTGCCTGATAGCTCTGCCGTGGGGTTCTGTGCTCAGGGACACACCACCTCATGAAGCTTTGGCTGCAAACATCCCACGAGCACTGCTGGAGTTACCCAATGCTTCCCATCACATGCAGATGAAAGGGGTATCATGAACTGCGTGGACTGAGGTGTGTCTCACAGAATCCCAGAACGTGAGGGATTGGAAGGGACCTCCAAAGCTCATCCAGTCCAATCCCCCTGCCGGAGCAGGAACACCCAGATGAGGTTACACAGGAAGGCGTCCAGGCGGGTTTTGAATGTCTGCAGAGAAGGAGACTCCACAACCTCTCTGGGCAGCCTGGGCCAGGGCTCTGTCACCCTCACTGAGAAGAAGTTTCTTCTCCAATTGAAGTGGAACCTCCTGTGTTCCAGTTTGTGTCCGTTAGCCCTTGTCTTATCATTGTTTGTCACCGAGAAGAGCCTGGCTCCATCCTCGTGACACTCACCCTTTAAATATTTCTAACCATGAATGAGGTCTCCCCTCAGTCTCCTCTTCTGCAAACTAAAGAGAGTGTAGCGTAGTGTGCCTTGAGGCTTTGCCTTATTTTGCAGCAGGCTGCAACAAGCAAAACTGTTCAGACATTTAAAAAAGCAAACTTTGCTTCTTCTGGTGCCTCTTCTTCTTGTAACGTTTTCCTCTGCATAGGGAAATCCACATCAATCAGCTCTGGTCACCTCTGCTTGCACCAGCCCAGCGGTTGGTTGTGTCCTCCAGTCAAAATCCCGTTTGTCCCTGTGTGCTCCCAGCTCCACCAGCTCTCACTTGCCAACCAGAGCAGACTTTTGTACAGAACGAAGGAAATTCCAACCCAGGAATATTGCCCAACTACTTCTGGCAATGCGGGGGCTCCATCGCACCAAAACAAAGATAAGCAGAGTCTCCCATCTTCTGCCAATGTTTGCTGGCACCCGAAACGGGGAAGGAATCGAAAGGAGCAGAAGAGAGGATGAGGGAGGAGGCTGTGAAGAAAAGTGCTGGTGAAAGATGGGGTGAAATGGTCTACGACCACCACGGCACCGGTTTGGAGAACACAGAACAAACCTTCGCTACCCAAAAATGCTGTTTTCCAGGCTAAGTGATAAGCATCAACTCGGCTATCGCAGTTTGTGAGCACCCTCTGACAACACCAACTGCACCTGATGGCCACGCATCTCGTTTTCCACAGAAATCTGCTCCCTTTGCACCCAAGGATGAAATCAAAGCCGTGCAGGAAACGAGGGGATGTCTCACGCACCCGGCTCTTGCACTGGAAATGGGAATACGCTGGGAGCAAGGGAGCACAGAGGGTGTTTTGGTACCTGAGGTTCTGGATTATCATCTGGAAAAAAACCAGAACCTGATCCCATTAAGCAGTTTAGCAAAAAATTGACTTTATACTCTGGTGATCACCACACCTTCATCTCCCAAACGCTTATTACAGTTATAGATATTAATAATATATTATTAAAGAAAGCGAGGAGCTCACAACAGCAAGTGACCTGCACATCCAAAATGCATTACCTTTTCTAGACAGCACAGGGGAGGGGAGAACATTGAAAAAAGAGGCCAGAAATATTTCAAACAACTCCAGAAAACAAGCAAGGTACTTATTTGGGCTTCCAATCCTTTTTTTTCTCTTCCTCACAAGGTTTAGCTCATTCACGTGAGTGTTTATGCACTACTCAGTCCCCAGCAGTGCATGGAGTACTCAGTACTCCACTCATTACTACAGCTCATGGGGACAGAGAGCTCCCGGAACAGCAGAGGAAGGTGTGATACAGGCACACAGGAACCCTCAGAGCTGACTGACAGAACACCCAGGGCCACAAAACCCAAGGCCAACGGCTGGGTCCTGCACTTGGGTCACAACAACC